TATTCCTCACACCTGTCCCTTATCTCTGAATACCTTTGGTTATCAAAAAAAATCTAATTTCAAATTTAATATGAATTATTGGTTTAGCATCAACTGCTATTCGTGGGAAAAAGTTGCAACCTCCAATCAACCTTTTATGTGCAGACATCCTAACTTTGCTGCTGAAAATCTGGCTTGAATTCTTCAGCTTTGTCCCTTAATTTTAGGTTCCATAATCAACAGGAATAGCTATCCTCCATGTAGCCTATCAATTCACTTTAATATCTTGTCAATTTTGATTATCTCAGCCCTTAAATTTCTAAATTATAGGGATTATTCCTTATACTTATTAATAGCAAAGGTGATGGAATAAAGAGCTGTATATCCAAATTGTTGATGATACAGTGTTAAGTGGCATTGTAAACTGTTTAAATTGAAGTGTAACATTAGAAGTAAAAATTCAAAGATTAATGGGAAATAGATTTCAAAGTCAGCAGGTGTGAGGTTATCCACTTTAGATCTGAAAATACAGAACAGAATAAATCCTAAAAGACAAAAAGCTAGAAATAGCGGAAGTCCAAGGAGATCATATACAGAGATCATTATAATGTGATGGACAAGTACAGAAAACAATTAAAAGGACAAATGGATTACTGGGCTCTATATCTAGAGAACTGATACATGGGAATTTAGAAGGTATACACTAGGCATACAAAGATCTAGTCAGAAAGTGCCTGGATTACTTTATATAATACTAGTCACAACAGCTTAAGAAGGATAGATTAACCTTGGTTGAGTGCATTAGAATGATACTTGTACTCCAGCAGTTAAATTAAAACAATGATTTCATATTTGGCCACATTGAAATCCATTTGCAACACGTTAAATAATTTACTTAAATCATAACGTTACCTTTTTGTCTATATTGCTTTCAATATTGTCATCTTGGTCATTGGCAAACTTGATATATAGCTATCTATCACATCATCTAAATCATTGATATATATGGAGGAAGTGTTAGGGTCCCAGAACAGATATTTGTAGGATAACATTTTGTCACATCCCGCAAATAGAGGATGAGACCATTGCTCTTGCTCCCTTTGTCCTGCCATTCGTTACAATTCCAAATATGTCTTCAATACCATTAGCTTCAATTTTAGTTTACTTTATCTTATGAGGGACTTTATTAAGCATGTTTTAAAGTCCATATTATATAAATTTTATCCCTAAACATTGTCTTATCCACTACTTCATTCACCTCTTCAAAAATATCAATCAGGTTCATCAGGAATGAACTATCTTTTATAAATCTGCTTCTTTCCAAAATGTTCAGTTACTCTAACTTAAATAATACATTCTAGGAGGGAAAATTTTGACCAAGCAATGGCTGCTTAAAGCAGCCCTATGCTGTTGGTAAACATCATTGTGGGCTATTACCTATATCATCCACATTGCATTTTCTTTTGATACCGAAGACAAAAGCCACAAGGGCTAGGCAGGTAACAGGTCACAGCATTGCCATAGTGCTGCAAGCCTCAGGGAATGGAAGGAAGTGGTAGTATGTGAGATATTGCTCCTTATTAATTTTCCAGTTACAAATTAGAATCATAGATTCATAGAGATGTGCAGCACGGAAACAGAACCTTCAGTCCAACTTGTCCTTGCTGAACAGATATCTTAAATTAGTCTAGTCTCATTTGCCAGCATTTGGCCCATATTGCTCTAAACCTTTCCTATTCATATACCTATCCAGACACCTTTCAAATGTTGCAATTGCATCAATCTCCATCATTTCCTCTGGCAGCTCATTCCATACACACATCACCCTCTGTGTGAAAAGGGACATTAAGTTCCTTTTAAATCTTTTTCCTCTCACCTTAAACCTGTGCCCTTTAGTTTTGCCCCTCATGATTTTATAAACTTCTATCAGGTCATCTCTCAGCCTCCGTTGCACTGGGGAAAACAGCCCCAGCCTAGTCAGCCTTTTCCTATAGCTCAAACCCTCCAATCCTGGCAATGTCCTTGTAAAGAGATAACAAGGTGTAGAGGTGGATGAACACAGCAGGCCAAGCAGCATCAGAGGAGCAGGAAAGCTG